GCATTGACTACTGAATAAAGTATATTTAGTATTTTAGTATTTTCTTTGGGATAACTACTAGATTTTTTTTTATGAAACTTAAAATTATAAACAAGCTGACGGCCCACCTGATGGAAAGTGGTAACCGTCGCCTATAGACATGAGCAGTACCATAGACATAGCAGAGTATACTGTTTCGCCCATAATATCCGCCATGCGTTGCCATTCCTATACCATTATACGCGAAACGAAATTAGAAGACTAGGACCGCGAAGGAAAACTAAAGGGAAACAATAGAGATGCGTGTCAATTTCACATTTGGTAAATAATAATATAAAAACTATAAATAACATATGTGGTTTGTACTCCTTATATTGCTCTAGACTATTCAATGTTTCGGTACCACCGTAGTATATAGCTGCTATAAAATAGTAGATAGTTATTTCTTTCGAAATAAACAATAAGACATTACCAAAATAACACACAGGTATCGGAAATTTCCGATACAACTGAAAAGATAACGTAGGAGACTATCATCTTCCATTATCTTCTAGAATGACATTACGTGTGTGCGTGCTAGACTGAGTTGAACTACGGATGCGAAGACGTAATCCTTCAACAAATACTTTGTTATCTGTTAATAATAAAATTATGATGAAATTTAAATAGTTATAAAAATTGCTAATGATAGCATATGCCACGGCCTTGTTGTTGTTTAGTTAGAAAAATTACGAATGGACTAAAGTAGGAAAGACAATTTAGGTAATTTATTAATTTAATTTAATTATAACACCTTACTAGATGGAGTGACGGCCTCAAATGCATTGCAGGGATTCAGTGGATGCAGGTGGCTTAAGACTGTTCCTAATGGCAGTTTATAGGGGAAGCTTATGACCGACACTGGACGGATAATGGCTGACAGGATTTTTTTTTATACAACTTAGAATGGCAAACAAGCTGACGGCCCACCTGATGTAAAGTGGTAACCGTCGCCTATAGATATGAGCAGTACCATGGACATAACAGAGCATACTGTTTCGTCCATGATACCCCCCATGCGTTGCCATTCCTGAGGACTCAGATGTTATTCCTCTGTACCCTGTAAATTCACGCCATATCCTATCCTTCAAACCGAAACATAGCCATGCAAACACAACTGCTTTGCGGTTGAAACACGAATAGGACAGAGGTACCCAAGCAAACGACTTTTGTACAAAGTCTCCCTCGTATGTATTTTTTTTTAAATTTATATTGCATTAGATGACTTGCCAAATGTTGTTTTGCTCTCTATAGGTCATTTGTCGGGATATAAAATAATTGATTTCTCAAGTTGTAGCAAAAAATACACTTTCTCAAATTTTCATTAAAGTAAAAAGATTTAAAAGGTTATATATATAGTCAGGATTAACACTAAATAAAATTTGAAAGTACAGTAACAGAAAGACAACATTCTAATTCCAACAAAAAGCGTTTAACATATATATCGCATAGATTCAATAATTCATTGGTCAGTGAATTCGTTGGAAGTCAGTTTCGTGTACTTCATTGTAGAACAATTTTAGAACTGTTTAAATAAATTATTCAGTGTTCTTTCAAAGTCCTTGTTCCTCTTTTTAGAGTTGCATATCCATTATATTAATATTGAAGATTTTTGTTCGAGTAATTTATGGATTAAGGAGTGACATGATTTATTAAGATTATAAGACTCTTACGTCATGTTACAGCGTATTTAATACTTACTGCCCAGTTGGAATAAGATAAATGTATCTAATAGTTTTATACACTGTTATGTCCATGGTACTGTTCATGTCTATAGGCGACGGTTACCACTTTCCATCAGGTGGGCCGTCAGCTTGTTTGCCATTTAAAGTTGCATAATTTTTTTTTTAAATAAGATTACTTACTGCTCAACTTTTTCAATTTTGATTGCAAATAATTCTACAGGTACGATTATTGAAATGAAAAGTTTATCAAGTACATATATACTCGTTTCTTTATTTTGTTAACTGTTTTTAAAAGAATATTTTTTTTATATGCAACAAAGAAGCTGACGACCTACCTGATGGAAAGTGGTAGCAGTAGCCTACAGACATGAGCAGTACAATGGATATAGCTGAGAATACTGTTTCGCCCATAATACCCCCCATGCGTTGCCATTCCTGAGGACTCAGGTGTTATTCCTCTGTACTCAGTAAATTCACTGCCATATCCCAATCTTCAAACCGAAACCAGCCATGCAAACACAACTTCTCCGGGGAGAAAGGGATTGTTAGTAATGGAGACTGAGAATCCCATTGCTAGCAATATACCCAACGAGGTCGACCTCCTCGCGGTTCTCCCTGGAAACTATCATGGTTAATTCCTGATGAATTCATCGTGATGGGCTAACTGGCCTGTTTTCATTCTCATCTTCTCCCTTCACTGGTGCTCCGCCAGTGTATCCCGTTAGCGCAGGCGAGGTTACCATAGCATTTTCACCCATCAAAAAAAGAACACAACTTCTCCACAGTAGAAACACGAATGGGCCAGAGGTGTCCAAGCAAACGGCTTTTGTACAAAGTCTCCCTCTGGTAAAACATGTGAAGTTGTACACACACACAAAAACAAATACAGCCAAATTGAGAATCTAATTACTGGGGCCTGATTAATTTAACCCCAAGCTGATGTATGTACGCATTAGCCGATATTTATAACGCCATTTTATTGATTCAATTGGGGCTTTAATTATACGGACTTTTGGACATTATAATAGGATTTTTATTGATAATTTATTTGAATATAATGTGCAATCTTTAGGTGAAGGGTGTAAATAACGGATTATTTTCAAAAGGTTTAAAGTAGGTACTTTTGTATACTGAATATTATTAAATGGAGTCATTATGGAAGGAAACTATATTGATTGCAAAAAGAATTATAAAAATCATACATACCATCATACAGCTCGCTATTTATAGGGAATTCATCTACATACCTTAGAGCATGGATACACTACACTACACTGTACACGACCATGTACAGCGCGGTTTCAGAGATGTTTCCTCCCACGAACGTTTAAGCTATAATTTTTTTATACAACTTAGAATGGCAAACAAGCTGATGGCTCACCTGATGGAAAGTGGTAACCGTCGCCTATAGACATAAATGAGCTCCCTGTCGAGGTTTTTCTAAGAGACTACAATATGAGGCTCTTAAAAAAGCGGTAAAGAGATTTCTTTAGGTTCGGCAACGTGCGTGTAATGCCTCTGGTATAGGCTACGATAACCGTTTACCATCAAGTGGGCCGTATGCTTGTTTGCCACCTCAATGGTATAAAAACATCTCAATTGAGAATTGATGAAGATATTATACAACATAATAGGTACAAAAAAAATCACAATAATAAATAGACTATCTATTTGAGAATTTTTACGAAGTCTTAAAATAAATGTAAAGCATGATAAATTTAATATAATATATTATTATGAGAATGTTCATTCATTAACTTCCTATGAGATTAGACATGTATTTAAATAGGCTTACAAAAACGTATCGTAAGCATTATATAACAGTCATCGTGTATTTTGTCTCATTTTGTAACCGACTTCAAAAAGAATGAGATATACAATTCGGTTGTTTTTTTTCTATGTTTATTTACTGCAAACTCCGTCACTTAAAAATCGATTTGGAACATGTATATTTTTTATCTAAAAGGATATACTTACAGATTGGTACCATAGAAATTGTATCAAAACTTTTTTTTTTGTATTTTTTTTTTATAATACAGATGGCAAACAAGGATTTCCATCAGATGGATGGTGTGCTACTCTAAATTGCATAAAAGAAGAAACAAACCACTTTTACGTTCTAAAAAGTAGCAACGTATTAATGGATAGGAGATCACCAGGATACTGCACATGTTCTGTGATCACGTCTACATGACTGTTATGCGTGGTATGACATGAAATAATTTTATCATATCATTAAATTTATTAAATTCATCACAAATATTGAGATGAAATATGTTGACTTAATGTTGATAACATTTATAATTCCTTTGAATAAACTGCAGCCGTATCATTCAATAAAGTAACATAATGGCTGTTAGAAGTGAAACTGCTATAAAAAAATATAAATTAGTGCCACCGGACGGAGGATGGGGTTATGTGATTTGTATTGCAGCTACAATAGTGTTTGTAAGTGATTGAATTTATTTCAATTGAATGGATCCATTTACGGTCGTGGCTACGAGCTGTATCACAGCTCAATTTGTTAACTGTCTAACTTCAACTGAGTTCCTTATGGAATAGACAGAGAGCTGAGTGTCAAAGACTTTTCTTGCATGCATCTTTTGTTTTATCTATTATCATGATTTTAATACAGGTGTTTATTTTAATCTCTTAATTTTTTCTTATCTGGGTAATATAAAACCAATTTAAAATGTTCCAGTAGAAATATTATGATTATATCTAATTCTTTTATTATACTATCTTAATTATTTATTTCATCTTTAAGTTTCATTGTAATCGAATACAGATACTTAAACCATTTGAGTGCTTAGATCAATTATACTTTATTAAGTATTAACATCTTTCATAATAATATTGTAGAATGCAATAAATAAGTTGAATTGAACAAAAAAAAGAAAACTATTTTTTTGTGCAACTAAAAATGGGAAAGTAGCTGACAGCCCACTCGACGGAAAGTTGTAACCGTTGCCTATATACATGAACAGTACCAAGAACAAAAAAGTATACTGTTTTGCCCATGATACCCCATTGCGTTGTCATTCCTAAGGACTAAGGTTTTTTTAATCTATTCGCGATATCGAAATCATGAAATGTATATAATGAAATATAAGCCTGTGTAAATAAGCAAGTACTAAGATAAATTCCAAATTTCATCAAGTGCCAACGATTTCCAGTAATTAATAACAAGAATTTATTGTCAAGGTAGTTTCTTGTTAATATATTTAAATTTATATTGTAATTTTTTTATTTAAAAAATCAGTAGGTAGAAAAATAATATTGGGTTGTTGAATGCAGACTATAACTTCGGGATTCGGTGCTTGTTTTGGTCTTATATACAATGACTTGATAAACACAATTGGAATGGGATCGACAATGATTACAATATTCACAGGAATCGGAGTTTTGGTGAATGCATTTTTTGGTAAGTTATTTTTTTTTTCAACATAGAATGGCAAACAAGCTGACGGTCAACCTTATGGCAAGTAGTGACCATCGCCTATACTCATGGACAATACCATGGACATAACTGTATTGCCCATAATATATGAATGGCCTCATGCGTTGCCATTCCTGAGGACTAAGGTGTTAAGTCTCTGTACCCTATAATTTCATTGCCACATCCTCTCTCCCCTTCAAACCGAGACACAGTCATGCAAATACAGTTGCTTCACGACAGAAACACGAATAGGACAGAGGTACCGAAACAAACGACTTTTGTACAAAGTCTCCCACTGGTGAATAATTTAATTCTGTTGAGAATAAATTACTTTAAAAGGTTTTAATTGGATGTGAAAATTACGAAGCATGTGGGGTTTGAACCTATTCGTACACATTTCAAATCTCTACCTATTTAACTATAAAATTGTAAAAAGTGATTATTACTCGAAATATACCGTGTGGTTCCAGCATAGAATGAGCCACTTCTTCCTTTCACGTGGGTGTCGTAAGAGGTGACTAAGGGAATTTAAAGGTCGAGGGATGGACAGCAGCGTCCCTTTTAAAACATCACCAAAGCTTAACCCTTTGAGTGCCGACGAGCGCCATCGCACTCGTGCGTATTGCAACTAAAAGTGTCACGAGCGTTATACCGCTCGTGAAATCAGTCGCTGTTTAGCTTGCTGTAAAAAAAAATATTAAAATTGGATAATTTTTTGAGGAGATACAGTTTTTTTAGAGAGAGAGAGAGGCATTTTTAAGTAGATATGAGTAAAAATCAATGACACTAAAAGGGTTAACTGCAGTTACCAACCCGTCAGCCAAGCGTGGCAACTATTGGCAAAACCCCACTTATGGGAGAGGCTTATGTTCATCAGTGGACAGTTAACGGCTGATATGATGACGATGATTACCCGAAAATAATTACAGTAACTTTTAATTACCGCTTTATTGATACTGTTTGTTTTTCAGTTATAATAAAGACAATTAACATTAAGCCTAACGCAATGCCTAATTTTTTTTATTTGCAGGTTTTATTACATCTCCGCTACTGAAAATTTTATCTTTTCGACAAGTGGCGTTCATAGCGGCTATCATGTACAACATTGGAGTTTTTGGCACATATTTTGTTCAGTCAATGGTGTCATTCCTTATCTTCTATTCTTTGTTACTGGTAATTTATTTTCTATGTATGTTTGTACTCGGGAGATATTCTATAATTTTGCGTGTTTTTAGGGTTCCGTACCAAAGGGACCTTTATGGTGCAACTTTATCCGTCCGGCCGTCCATACAGTGATATATCTCAGAAACTACTAACGATATTTATTTGAAATTTGGATTTTTTTCATGTATTATTTGGTCTATATATATTGCTAAAGAAATAAGTAAAATAAGTATTTTTATTTTCTTTGCTAGAGGGTTGAAAGGGGTATTAAAAATTTCAAAGTAGACTTACTAGTCCAAGTGGAGTACCGTATGTAAGGGCTTCATTTGTATATTTTAACTAATTTTTATTTGTTTTTTGCTCTAGTTTCTGACTTGATCCAAAATAATAAAAAAAAAATCATGCGCATTGTTATGGTGTACTTTTAAAGTAACGGCGGGTATAAAATTATCGAAAAAATAATCTCATATATATACATATAATTCGAAGATTTTTTTATCTAAAAAACCTTTTTCAAGAAAAACATTATGAAACCCTCGGTGAGTTAGTTCAACTCACACTTGACTAGTTTTTTTTAATATTTAGATTTCTTAAATGAGATTTAGTCCTAAGATTTTAAGTAATAAAATTCATTTAATGCTATTTTAGCTAAGAGCTCTCTTAGTTAAAACTAAGTACGCGTAAATTTTGGAAGCAATTAATCGATTTTGATGGTGGATTGAAATAAAACATACTCATAAAAATTAATGGAGGTCCCTTAATATAAGCTTTATGAATAAAAGAAATGAATTCATATTGAAAATACTCATGGGAATACCTGCCATTGACAAACATCATTTAAAGATAGATGATGATCTAGTAACATAATTTGCCTAAATATTACCTTAATTTTTATACCGGTGTTGCTATCTCATTCTATGTCATTTCTGCTATAGCGTAAACGTAAATAAATACATTTTTGTCTAGAAAGTCTTTGGCTTCTTTAAACGTCAAAAGTAATTGGTGAACTAGCTTAAATCACTTTATAATTACTTTATAATTTATGGGATAAGTCCGCCATTGTACTGATTCTTTTCTTTAGAATTCTGTAGCCTATATTTTAAGACTTACAATAAAGGGTTACAAAAAAAACTAAACAAACTGTTTTTTACTACGTTAATACAGACATTGATCAATGGAGAACAATGAAAGTATGAGTATGTAAAAATTCCTATTGTTGGGTATTAGCGTCAATTTTATTATGCTAATACCCAAAATACTAAAAGCCAAATTTTTTTGTAATATGAATAAAAATATATTACGCCGACCCCAAATAATAGTTGGGATAAGGGTAGGAAAATGATGATTTGAGCTGTATGGTAACATATCAAGCTATAAGATATAAAAAATAATAATTGATATTATTGTATGACTATAATTAATTGCTCTTTTTTTAAATTTCAGAGTGCCGGCTTTGGACTTTTATTAAATTTGACGAGTACTATAGTGAATGATTATTTTACAAGTAAAAGATTACTCACTGTAAGTCTCACTCAGACTGCTGTGGGTACGTATCAAAATATTTCAACAGTTTCTATGTTTCCTTTTTATTAATTATACAAAATCCTGATAAAAAGGATATTGTAATCTTAATACTAGAGTTAATATTTATGAAAACGGACAACTTTGTCCAAGAAGAATGTATATTTGTATATATATATATATATATATATATATATATATATATATATATATATATATATATATATATATATATATATATATATATATATATATATATATATATATATATATAGATTTCCTGTGTGTGTGCCAGTAATAGGGACTATTATAAATGTGCATTAATTATACATGTACAAGTCAAATTTACTAGAAATAATTTGAAATTTTGTCTAATAATTACTAAATCCAACCCGTATTGTTGTCTGTTTGGATTAGAATAGAAAGCATATTGCATGGTATTTTATTCAAATTTATCCAGCCATAAATTCTTAAAATATGACACTGTTTAAGCACGGATGAGTAACAAACATAACATATATATTTTAAACACACAATCGGGGCTTAGCGCGATGTAAAAAGTACCTACACACCTGCTACCTTATGGCCGACGTTTCGACGTGTTTAAAATTAACTAAACATAACATAACTGTCACCTTTACAAATTTTTTACATTTATAATATTAGTACAATGTGTCGTTGGAAGCCAACCACCGCAATTAATGCTATAGAAATTGCTTATACAAACAGCCATTATACATATATATTACATCTGTCTCCTATTTGGAAAACTAGAAACATTTGTATACCAAATTATCTGATTCAAACAGATCTCTTTCTTTCCACATTTATTAGTCTATTCATACTAGCTCGTTGGTTATAAGTACTTGTCACTTGGCCCTTTTTCATACTAACACACACACACACACACACACACACACACACACACACACACACACACACACACACACACACACACACACACACACACACACACACACACACACACACACACACACACACACACACACACACACACACACACACACACACACACACACAAACACACACACACTAATGGCCACCTGTTTGATCGTAGTGTGTACTTATGGTCCGGGCATAGAATAGACTACCTCTTCCTTTCTCGTGGGTGTCGTACAAGGCGACTAAGGAAACTTAATGGTCTACCAGGAACACTCCTTAAAAGGAGAACGCCTATATTTAAAAGTGGGCAATTAACAGCTGATATGCTGATGTACTTATGGAAGTACGTTCATCTACGATAGCTACCGACATCTCTAGTCTATTATTCTAGATGTATCTCTTTCATAATTCTTCTTCTAGTGCCACTTGTAGTTTTTTTTTAATATTTAAAGGGCTTTTACCTTCTTCAGGTACATCAGTCCTATCGTACCCTGAACTGATTTCTCAAACAAAACTTTATCTACGTTCCTTAGACGCGGAAAGAGACGAATTATTGGGCATCAATAATTTACAGAGATGTTCAAAAATTTCTGGTTTAAGTTCAGCTAACATAGATTGAATAAGACCAACAAGTTATTATTTACTAGCGTTTACCCGCGACTTCGTCCGCATGACTGGGATACGTTTTTGACCGGGATATAAAATTACCTACAACCTTTTTCACCATTCATAGTAAATGTTTATACTATATTTCAAAGTGATTGGTAGTGATTGATTAAGCCGTTAAGTCGCTATAAGGTAACAAACAAACTCACTTTCACATTTTTACCATTAGTAAGGATGGTGTATGGTTAATAATTTATATAATTAATAACATATACATATGAAAACTTCTGGCAAACTCCATTTGATTGGAGAGGAAAAATCATGTTTAAAATGTTATTGATATATTTGTTTTCTTTATGTGTATATATGTATGTGTATATGTGTGTATATGTATGTATGTATGTGTGTGTATGTGTATGTATGTATGTATGTGTTTGTATATACTATTATATATATTTTTATGTTAATCATTTGCTCTCGATTATTTGGTTTGGTTTATTGTGGAAACTTTACTGATTTATGTTATGGTTGTGTATACTATTTTATATGTCTCAGGTATTGTATGTTTCCCTTTTAAAGTAAAATAAAAATAAAATAATATAATAATTACAAAAAATTACAGGTGTTAATTGCATGCTATTACCAAAACTAGTGGCAATGATATCCAACGAGTATGGATCTCGAGGATGTATACTCATTATATCTGGTATAAGCACCCATTTATTCGTTGCTGTGGCTTTAATGCAGCCGATTAAATGGCATATGAAGAAAGAGGAGTTACCAGAAAACAATGACGGTAAGACAACAAATTTAAACGATACCTTTAAAAAAAAATATATTAATTTACACAAATAAACTATCTACACATAGCTAAAACTATTAAGTCTAGAAATTTTGGAATATAGATTTATTTGTATGCGTCCGTGTAGCCTAACTTCAGGCTGCGGCTGAAAATCAGTGCTTTGCTTTTAAGCAAAACTATCACTGAGCTGTAGCCTATTTGGGTCACTGTGACACACATAGCGGAAATATATTTTCGTATTTTATACCTTTTTTTTTATATTTAAAAGAAGTGTAAATAATTTGATTGTATAAACTTATTTGTTAATTTACGTGTGTCATAAATGGCTCAAATAAAGTGTTTATTTACTCGTATCTATCTATTTTACGATGTATGCATCTAGTAAGAAATTATTTTCAATCCATATCAAATAGAAGGAACTTTCTCAATTCGATTTTTATGTTTGTTACCTCATAACTCTGTCAGTTTACAACTGATTTGATAAATTCTTCTTTTATCTGAACCGATATATTTATAGATTGATTCTATAGAAATTTTATCAAAATCGCTTCAGTAACTTAGTTTTTAAATCAAAATAACTACTTGCAATAATGGAAGTATTTTTTTTGTAAAACAGAATCTTAAATTATTTAAAATTTCAACTTATATGGGAAACACGATACTGTCTAAAGCCGTGGGTGCAAAACGTAGCATGTTTATAATTTAAAACAAATATTTGGGTAGAAAACACGAAACGATCTTGAACGGTTCGACATGATTTCAATGTACATCTTTTTGTGTAAATTTTTATATAAAAAGATATAAATTTTAAATTTTGCAATTATATTTATATATATATATATAATATATATATTATATATATATATATATATATATATATATATATATATATATATATATATATATATAATATATATTATATTTATATATATATATATATATATAATTATATATATATATAATTATATATATATATATATATATATATATATATATATATTATATTTCTAGAATCTTCTAAAATAATATTTACAGATACGAAACATAGCGATTTCAATCGTATTTTCACTGAACTCGAATCCTATCAACTGCAACAAGAGTTATCAAAATTGATAAGTATTGGCAAAGATATCGCATAAAATATAAAGGAAATGCCCGCGAATAACCTTTTTGAAGTAATTTAAAAAATATAATTCATAAAGCTACTTGTAAAGTATGTTAATAATCGAGATTGATGGCACTTTATGGAACTTTATACACATTGATATCATATTTATATATTATTTTTTTAGCAATCTAGGTTCCGGTATAGAATAGGCCACTCCTTCATTTCCCGTGATTGTCGAAAGAGACGACTAAGGGAGGGCAAGGGATGAGCAGCGTCCCTGTTAAAACATCTCCAAAGCCTAACTGCGGTTGCCAATACGCCTATTAAGCATGGCAACTACTTGCAAAATCGCTTTTATGGCGGAGCCTATGTTCAGCAGTGGACAGTTAACGGCGGACACAATTGTATATTATATTTTATAAAAAAAATAACTGTATTATTTTGCAAATTATGGAAGAATACAAGAATTTTGACCCCATACGAGCAAACGCAGTATAGGACGACTCCTCACTAGATTAAGTGACGACTTCAAATGCATTGCAGGTAGTCAATGGATGCAGGTGACTTAAGTCAGAAGGAGGATAGGAGGAAATCTATGATTATCAGTGGACAAATAACTGAGATAATGATGACGATGATAAGAATCTTTTTAAAAATTTCTACTGTTAATAGTTTGGTCAGTTTACATTATATATACATTTATTATCATTACATTACAGAATCGCTAATACTTTTGGTCAATCCCCCAAATGAGGGCGACAAAACACCTGTGGTCACGATGAGCGAAATAAAACCTCCTAATAAAACAGTTACAGAGAAAACTGATACTAGTATTACCTTATCACATGAAAAGAGATCGAGAATCACGTATGTATCTATTGTTTACGTATTATATTTAAAATTATCTATATAATCTACTGAAGAAATGTTGCAATATCTATTTTTTTATCGTCATTCTTTCGCTTCTTGTTTTACGACTTGTCCCTTAGAAACATCAAAAAGATAATACTTATGTATGTGTATATAAGATAATATTGTAACACTCACAGTATGGCTTTGTCCGTAGTCATATCATGATGTTGAATAACCTTTAACCTTATTCAAGAAATGAGATATCAAATGCTGAAAATATTTTGTAAATCCAATTAGTAATTCTAGATATTAGCTCGTTAAAACAAACAAACTCTTCTGCTTTGTATATTAGTATAGATAATTATAATACACTAGCTGACTCTGACTCTCTCTCTTTTCAAAACTTCTTTTGATTTCGCGCCATTCCACATATTATTTCGTGTCCATTATTAAAATACAATATGGAATGGGGTGTTAAAAATAGGATTATTATCTATCCGTTATAAATTATTTAAATAACTATAAAAGCTAACTTAAATAACCGGAAGAACGATCATGGCCCCTATCCAAAATGCGTTAACCCAACTCCTTTATAAAAGATTTCGCTAGAATTCTCACATACCTACCCGTAATCTCAAAAGCAACACAGATTTTTGTATTAATTTACAAGTACGACGAAGAGACGAACTAAAAAGCAAACAAGGATATATAAAAAATTAAAAAATATATCAATTATTGTTAAGTGTTTTTTCTAATACATCTTTTCGACGTCACTAAGATTATAATGTCTTAATCTGTTGGGTTTTCCCAACAAGTAGTAATACAGTAATTGAATAGATTAATGAAATAAATTAATTTATAGGCGATATTATGTGATCAATAAATAGCATTAGGAGAGAATGATAAAAGTCTAGTTTATTTACATTAATTCCTTTATATTACAGGATATTAATAAGTGAGCTGTTCGATAAATCGGTAATGAAAATATTTTTTTCTTCAATCATTATTATTGGACCAGCGTGTAGCTTCTTTTGTGATCTTACTTTTTATATGATTTTTCCACAAGCCTTATATTCTTTACAATGGAACTATGTAAGTATAGATATAAAATATTATGATATTTTTTTATATACAGCTCAAAATATAGATATAATGATTAAGATTGTTCCACAGAAAAAAACAGACTTCAATTTTGGCAACACCAGTTATTTTTAATTAAAAACTAAACTAATGAAGCGATTTGAACAAAATTTGCATGGAACTAGTCTACATGTATATTAGTTCAAATAAAAGAAATAATTTTCCAAATATGTTTAAAATTGACGCTGTTATGAGGTTACAAACATAAAAAAAAAACATTGATGCTTCTTTCCACTGTGGGTTTGTTGGAAGGGAACTCTTGTAAAGTGAAGCTTGTTCTTGTACATTTGCTTTCCACTGTTATATATTTTTTATGTATTATTAGTGCGTACAATAAAGTATAAATACGTATAAAAAATAAATAAATAAATGGATAAAAAAGTCCTTCCTTTTGAAGTCGCTCGAAAAGGGCTGTAACAACAAATATTTTTACGTAAACATTTTTGCAGTGTGGATAGTTAATTAAGTAATACAGATTAGAACTGAGTGATATTTTAATAGGTTGTTAAGGTAACTTATAGCTAATTTGTACAAAAGAATCATTGTTATTTATAACTGTTGTTGTGTTCATTTGATTAGTAATCAGAGGTGAAGATTGCCTCATTATATTTTTTTATATTGTACCTTTTTATATATAATGTAGCTGTTTATCTACTAATTAAATAAATAAATAACAGATTATCTCCGAATCCTGCTTGATAGTTGATCCTCCTTGATTAATAGATAGAATAAGCCGCGGAACAACACGGCTCTTTCATACGAAAATGGCGTGATTCATGATCATTATTATAATATAAATGATGACGTTTGAATACTACATACATTCATACATATATTTGCGCGTGCGCGTTCTCGTGTTAAATAAAATTTAAAATGTAAAAACTTTTGTAATTCTAAAATAAAAATGCTAAAAAATTAAATCTTCATCTTTCTACCCTTATTTCAATTATTATTTGGGGTCGGCGTTATATGGTTTTATCCATATTATAAAAAGATTTGGCTTATAGTTTTACTACCGGCCACCTGCCTAACGTCAGCCCTCTTTAGGAATGCATTTGTTGGTGGTTTCCGCCACCTACAGTATGGAGGAAAGGATTGAAAAAAAAGGAAGGGAATGGAAATGCGTAAAAGAAATTGATAAATGAGAGGAATAAGGGACTTATGTGGAAAAGGAAAGAGGAGGGGGGGACACTGTAGTTACGGAAGGAACTGGGACAGTGCAGTGGCTCAAGAAGCCGGGGTCGCATACCTGTATGACCTTATTCTAGAATCGAACAGATTTCTAGAGAAGAACACCCCGGAAAAATTAAATATATATAATATTTTCCAATACTTAAGCAAGGACAATCTGAAAGGCAATCTTTCACAAACAAATTTTGGGCAGAGGAAATAAGATAGAAGGAATTTTCCAATTTCCTCTAGTGGGTATGTACCTTCGCCAAAGTATACAATGTACTCGAGGAAATTGGAAAGTATAACGTTATTTTATTTTTTTCCAATTTCCTATCATCCTTTATTTCTATCCAAATTAATGACGAACAAATGTAATAACATAGTAAATAATTTATGTCTATTTATTTGTTTCTCTCACTTTCCATAATACTATATATTTACGAGTATGTATTGTGAGTAGGTACTTTACATTTTACATAAATACTACATAATAGTTTTTTTTAAGCGAATCAAAATAAAATAGTAATTCTGTCTGCGTTATTGGTTTATATTAGTTGAGGATAATTAACCACGTTAGTTTCCAGGGGACCATGGGGAGGCCTATGAACCCGATAGATCCTTTTACTAACCTGTTGCCTTAATCACCTAATTAACGTGTTTTTTTTTAATGAACGAAAATTCAATGATAACTAAGCCTGTGCTATCGGTATACGTTGGTGAGACACTAGTGAAACATGACTGGTGAGGATGAAAACAGATCAGTTGGTTTATCGTGATGGGTTAAACAAGAATTAACCACTATGGTTTTCAGGGGCAACCGCATTGAGATATCGACGTAACAGCATATATTGCTAGTAAACACACAATCACAATATAAAATATCGATAATACATATACACGTATATATATACGTATATTAAAAAACATCCGTACACGTAGTAAATTTCCAAAGAAAAAATATATATATGTATATATATATATATATATATATAGACATATATAGATATATATTTGTGTATGTGTGTGTGTGTGTGTGTGTGTGTCTGTATATATGTATACATTTATATACATTTATATTTATATACACATTGTTGTATATACCCAAACCGAAATTTACAACGTGTGTCGGATGTTCTTTTAAATTTTTATAAAATCACGTTTTACCTATCTACATTAATATAACTAACGACAGTTAAAAGGGGAAATAAAAAACTTTTGAGTAAATGTATGAATATTGTATTATATAATAAAATTTATTACAGGAACACGTTGCATGGGCAATCTCATTATTGGCCTTCGGAGATACAGCAGCGAGAGCGTTGTTTATAGTTCTTAACAACTGGTTATACAGGATTGGAATAGAAGAATTGTACATAATTGGGCTGGGAATCGCTTTTTTATCCAGAATAGGTAATATGCTAATCAAATATTTCAACTTTTCTAATTATTAACTTATATCTCTCTGTTCCATTTGGCCATTTCTACCATAAAGCAGTTGTGTTTGCGTGGCTGTGTTTCGGTGTGAAGGGTGGGATATGGTAGTGAATTTACAGGGTACAGAGGAATAATACCTGAGTCCTCAGGAATGACAACACATGGGAGGTATAATGGAGGAAACAGTATAATCTGTTTTGTCTATGGGCGTATCATGGGCGAAACAGTATACTCTGTTATGTCCATAGTACTGTACATGTCTATAGACGACGGTTACCACTTTCCATTAGATGGGCCGTCAGCTTGTTTGCCATTCTAAGTTGTATAGAATAATAGATATCGCGAGAGACATTGTATGATGTTGGTATCGGATTACGATGAGCTCATGACTATGGTCTGTGGAAATGAGGGATATTTGTCCGCAAACAAAATTTTCCTTTATGTTTTTTAAGATCTGTCATGGCATTTAAAACAAGGAACAGTCTTTATACATTTCAGTTCAGTCATTATATTACACGAAACTTACATATTACAACGCACAAGTAATTGTGTAAGGTTCCGTTTATACAAATCGGCTTGGAGAGGTGAGCAGATTTTGATCGCGTTTAAAATAGAATTTTAAGATCATTGAAATATGGTCTATTTTACATTTCACTTTTTTTGTTATTTGAGAATGTTCGAGAGCTAACAAAAAAGTGAAACGCTTTAAAAATTTGTTCTCCTCTCCGAGTCGGTCTATGTGAATGGACACTAAGTACACGGCTTACACATTTGGGATTTTTTTCCGCTAAAATATCAGTTTTTTGCACAAGCCTTTAAAGTCTTTAATAAAGTTCGGAGAAGTTGGACAATCCTGAATGTAAATACGAGTAATTTCGATGTAAGAGAAAACTACGTAATTTACCGTAACTACTTTATAATCCGATCCTTGTAACTTGATGTTTACGTTAGAGTGGATGGCATTCCTAAGTAAACTTTAAGTACAGAATAGTTAATAGTACTATATTCTATAAGTTCTTATTAATTATTAATTTATTACAAAATACAATAGTTTATTAATTCATCTACATCATCTGATTTTAATAATTATTTTTATATTTAATAGAACTTTATTATATGCAGTTAAGAACCGCAAATAAATAATTTACAAAAGTGGCTAATATGATATTATATTTCACTGTAATATTAAAATTTTTAAATAAAAACACAGACATGCAAGAGCAATTGGTACATGATAGTTTCTATCATGTAGCAATTCCTCTTGTTTTGACTTTTTTTGACAAAGTTTTTGACATAGTATCGCTACTGATGACTTTTGTATAAAGTCACCCTTTGGTATTTTAAACATTATTTTATCGACTTAGATTCATAAATAGTCACACTGAATTATGTAACTAACTAACTAATTAATTGTGTGTATTTCTCAATGCCTAGCTTGTATTTACTTATTCTACCTTCTTTCTACTTATTCTCATTTCAGGAATGCTGCTATCAAAAGATACCATTCCAGTTTTAGTATATATGACCATTATTGGTGTAAGCCGCTGTTTTTTTATAATACTTGCACCTTTGGTGATGGTTAATGCTGTGGGAGTCGACAAATTTACGGCTGTCAACGGTATTTACATGTTGACTGTAGGAATTCTCGGTATAGCATTAGGACCTCTTACTGGTAAGTTGAACCTTATCTGCGTTTTCTTTAGGATTGCTTCTTCAAAATATTATCACTTGTATTGATTCTGATCCAAATTTGATCAAAACTTTTACTTGGTGATTATTCAATCTCCGTTTCTATCAATCAGCAAGTTATTATGTGTTTTTATATATAATATGTGCATGTTCCATGTTTATATATACGGACACATGTATGTATATATATCATATCTCGCAACACTAATTATGGTGAACACAGTTATTTATAATGTATGTGTAATATATTATAATTATATGTACTATAAAAAAAAAATAATCGACTTAAAAAAAAGAGGAGGTTCACAATTCGGTGGTAATTTCTCTTTTTTTCAAAAGGCTATACTTGCAGATTAGTTTTATAGAAATTTTATTAAAATCGATCCAGTAGTTTAGTTTTTAATTCAAAATAACTGGTTCTGGTATAACTGAAGTCACTTTTTTTTTTGCGGAACACAATCTTTGTAAGTACAGATATCAAAACATGTTTATATATAACTTAGTATATTTTACAAGTAATTATTACAATATTTAATACATGAGATATGATTGGCAGAAACGCAGAGTCACGTATAGGTAATGATTTTTTATTATATAAAAAGAATATTTTTTTATACAATTTTATAATAAAAGTTCGATATTTTAATACTTTTACAATATCCATTCATGTAAGACAGTCAGCATATAATCAAGGTTATAATGACTTACAGTAAGTCAGGTAGTAGCCGGTTGTTGACAATGTAATATACGTACCTGTAAAAGAAAAACAAAAAGCTTATATATATATATAAACTATTTAAATATAATCCTCTTAATATTATAAATGTGTAAGTTGGTAAACATGTTTGAATATAAATATCCAAATATCTTGACATGCAAATGAATCAAACTATTGCTATTGACATTCGTTTATTTCCCTTTTATAATGTTAGTTACCGTGTGGTCCAGGTATAGGATGGGTTATCCTTATCTTTGCTATGGGTGTCGTAAGAGGCGACTAAGAGAACTTAATAGTCGAAGATGGACAACAGCGCCCCTTTTAAAATATTACCAAAAGCCTAACTGCGGTTGCCAACTTGTCTAAAAAGCGTGACAGCTACTGGTAAAACCCCCCTTTATGGGGAAGGCCTATATTCAGCAGTGGATAGTTTTAAACTATCATCATTAATGATTAATGTTAGTTAATATAGGTGTCTACTGACATAATAATTACGGACCCTGTTTCAGTTATGAAAATGGAAATATCAAAATAGTCACAGCTAAAAAAAAAATCATAATATCCACAATTCTGTATATTTAGCGCGGTTAAGCTCAAATAGTTTTTTTTTTATTGGGTGATAATGGAATGGTTACCCCACCTGCGCCATCGGTATACGCTGGTGGGGCACCAGTGAGTGATGATAGATGAGGATGAAAGCAGGTCAGTTAGCCCATCGTGATGAATTCCATTAGAATTAACTATGATGGTTTCCAGGGGGAACCGCGTGGAGGTCGACCTGACAGGGTATGTTACTAGCAATGGGTTCATTAGATCCCATTACTAACAATCCCTTCCCCCCCGCTCAAATAGCTTAATCGCCATAAATAAATATCATGTGATATCCCATTATCAGGCATAGGATTTGTTCAATTAGCTTACTATTAACGTGCTGGAGAAAGAGGAAATTGCTAGCAATGTAAATTAATAGCTCCATTGTTAGTAGTATACTCTATCACGTCTCTGTTTTTTTTTTTAGTCATGATGAATTAACTGACTTCTTCTTCATCTATCATCCTTCGTTAGTAGCTTACCAATGGGGTCACTATTTCATTTTCATCCTATTGAAAAAGACTTTTACCATGCTAGTCACGGGGCTTGTTATTTTGCTTTACTTCGGATTTTCCTTATCTTCCTCTCATGTAGCGAGATCTGTTCCCTTAATCGCCTCTCACAACATCCTGGAGATTAAAAGAAGCAGTGATACATTGTATTCTTAATCTGTATTATACGGAGAATCATAAACAAAATTATAGTCATGGAAAGAGATTGCCAACAATTTATTGTTCGGTCGTTATTCAACTGTAGAAGAATTTTATCGCCACTTTCTTTTTTAAAATTAGAATATTCAAGGTATCATGATTAGAATGGAATAATTTATTCTAAAGGTACAAGTGCACCAAAAATGAAACCTGAAGATAATGTTGATTAGTACCACTGTATATACTTTTAATATATATGTACTTTTTTATATAACTTAGAATGGCAAATAAGCTGACGACTCACCGGATGGAAAGTGATAATTGTTGCTTATAGACATGAACATACTATTTGCATATATTTCTCTTTTTTATTTATTATTCTAATTATTAAATATTTTAATAACTTTATCTCTTTTCAATTATTAGCAAATATAGGGAAATATCTATATGTACTGTCATTGTGTTCGGAAATTTCTTTTAGTTGTTTTCTTGATGAATAAAAATCATAGTCTAACTAGATTTTTCCCTACTAACCCGAATATTAACTGGGGTCTCACATTTTTTATTTTATTTGGATTTATGTTATTTTTTTTTTTATAAATATGTTTAGTCTCACTGGTAGAGTAGATTCTTAAAATGATTTTGATTTCAACTTGTATATTTATATAACAAAATTCAATGTGTTCAAACTTTACAGGTGCCGTGAGAGATATGACTGGCAGTTACACAATAGTATTTGCTATAATGGCTGGTATTTTACTATTAATAATGCTGATATGGATAATAGAATTATATTATAAGAAAAGGAAATGTAAATCACAAAGAAAAACATCAGTAAACCAGTACAATTTATGAGAACGGTTTTGTGAGAGTTTATGTGTTTTTGTAAAGGTTTGTGTTTTTTGAATGACTACGATGTTGATAATTTTGAACGATATGATATGAAGAATAGAATTTGTTTCCTCACAAAATTTTTTTTTCTTTGATTTATAGTTTATCTGTACAAAAATAAAAATATTTTTTTTTCTTTTTTTAATCCACATAGTTTAAAAATATATTTGTAGTAAAAATTTATTCAATCACGACAAATAATGAATGAATTGAAACTATTGAGGCAATAAAGCCTATAGATATCAAAAGAATCATTAAAATTTTACAATGATTTTGCGTAAATATAATACAAACAATACAGTAGAATATTAGAATCCTATTAATATTACAAATTAGAAAATTTGTAAAAATGCTTGGATGTTTGTAGGTTTGTGTTTTTGTTACTTAATTACGTTTCTACATCTGGACGGATTTAAATGAAATTTGATACACAATAAGCTAGTAAATTCAAATGCAAATCATCTGTAATTAAATAGAATTATTTACAAGCTCTTTTAAATTGTCTTTTTTTACGAATGCAGGATTCAGAAAGTTATTATTTTGTGAGAAAAGACAGTAAAAAACTCAACAATTACTCATTTAGATATCTGTTAACATTACGTGGAGTTATTTAAACGTACTATTCTAAAATTACATGGTCGTTAAAAGCCCGTGCATGATCGACTAATACCATGCACATTTATCATTTAAGTAATTGTTCAGTGTCTAATAGGTTTTGTTTAATAAGTTTTTTTAATAACAATTTTAAAAAGTAGATCCAAAATAAAACTTATAATACAAAGTAATTAATAATAACTCTTCTCTATTCAAAGGTTGTCTGGAAGAGATCGCTGTTAGCGATAAGTCTGCCCATTGTTTTCTTAGTGTAATATTTTCTTGTAATTGTTTGTATTTATAATAAGTTCACTATTGTAATCTTATGGAGGAAACAATAAAGAGCATCTATCTATAATAATACTACGTTATGACGAATTATCAATTCATGTTTTTAAATCGTGACGATTACAAAAAATACGAACGAAGTGTTCATATTTTTATATGAATATTTATCGTATATTTATATAAAGTTACAATTATGCCCTTCCTTTTTTTTTCAGAGTAATATTTGAGCACTTCGACTCAAAATGATTACAATTTTCCATATGAGTGCCTATTTAAATACACGCCAGTGTATAAAACTGATTCTCTGTACATTGTGGCAGGCGCAACGTTCTTTGTAGACCATTTATGAAGTACTTTTAATATATAATTTAGAGAATAATAAATATGCATAATATGAGTGATCTATATTCAAATTGTTTCAAATAAATTAAAATGAACTTTGACATTGTATTATTTACGGAAATATAAAAGGACGCCAGGTTTCCGAGGTGAGGACGCAACAAACAAAATGGTAAAACACACATAAACTTTTTTTTTAATTTAAATAGCAGCTATATTCTATGGCTTTTTTACGTCAATCAGTTATTAATTATATATGCATCCTATATATTAATTATATATAGGATGTAACCTACACGTGTACCAAAATTTCATTCAATTTCTTTCAGCAGTTTTTGCTTGAAATAGTAATAAATATTTATCCAGCCATCGCTACAAACTTTCGATTTAATTTTAATAGGATTTGAATTTGTGTAGTATAGTTCTTACCTACATAATTATAATACTTAGGTTAGGTAACCTAAATATAATTTGGGCTTAGAAATTGTTAGTAATCCTGATAATCAGTTCCATTGCTATCAATATACCCTGTCAGGTCGACCTCCACGTAGTCCCCCTGGAAACCACCGTGCTGAATTTCAGGAGCATTCATCATGGTGGGCTTTTTTATTTATTTTTATCTATCAGCCCTCACTGGTGCTCTGCCAGCGTATACTGTTAGCGCAGGCGGGGTAACCATTCCATTATCATTCATAATTTTTTTTATTTGTTTATACGTTTACCGATGTTAAAAAATCACTGAAAAGTGTCAACATCTACAACAATACAGAAAGTATTGTTTGTCAATTAAAACATATATTTTTTCCATCTTCCAGAATGATTGTTTACATATTGCTCTGGTAACCATAAATTTAATTATAGAAAATTGTACATATAAATCTACTATTAGATATTTTGCAACGACTTCATAATTTACTTTAAAATTTTTATATATGTTCTTAACGGCAAAATCCAAAATTATAATTAATATATACTATTATTAAGTTTTAAGAAAAGTTTTTAATTACTTTCTTACTTTATTTCATAACATATTACAACTTGTAATAGTAATATTATTTAAAACTCCTTTGAAAAAGTTATTCAGTTTTAAAAATGCAATCACTGAGCTTTTCTGGTATTCTACTCTACTATAGTACTCTCTTTGTCAAACTTATGCAGCTAATTATCTAATTCATCCACTTACTACATTATAACATAGAATTGATAACATCACATTAAAAAAAATATTTAATCTGTAAACAAGACAATTTACATAATAAGTAATTTGATTTCGTCCAATGTTACATTTTATACCAAATACAAATTAATTAGATGCAAATCTTGACACAGATTTTATTATCGCATTTTGTTCATAAGTAGTGGAATTTTTTGTGTATTTAATTAAATTCCGCATTAAAACGATACATTTAATCGTGATACGACTAAAATGGGCCGATAGCTAATACACGCACGCACGCACGCACGCACGCATGCACGCACACGAGCATACATCACGCACACACATATACGCACACGCCCACACCCACGCCCACGCACACTGATTGCCTTTTTGTAGACAAATTTATGTCGTAATGACATACATTGCAAATATTTGAATTTCGAACATGACTTCACATAGAGATTTCGCTTTCAAATAAGCAGTTTTTTACTCTGTAAAGGAAGATGGTAATATCAAATGTCATATGTGTAATTTAAATAGAATTAACCCGGGAATTTAAAAAACTTTAACATTTGTTAAAAGGATTATGAAAATCGTAACAGAATTGGTGATGAAATTGTGTCAATAAAATCATAAAAAAATCAGACGAATTGAAAAAGTAAACAGGAATCTACTAATTTACTGTATATTATAACAGAAATATTTACACAATAATCGTCAGATATCCTTAATCAGTCAATTCGCGGCTATCAACAGTTCACGTAAATATTTACACTGACCAAAATACAATACGGATAGACATATAGTATAGATATAGTGAAGTTGGGTTCAAATTGTCACAATGTCAGCAAACTTATCATGCATCCGCAAACGGTCATGTATACAATGGCACGCGCCATACAGCTGTTATGTTTGTTTTTACTGTTTAAAAAAAAATCTTTTGTTTATAAAACAAGATGACAATGGAACGATAAACACGCGTGTATTTTTTTTTTGTTGAGTGAAAATGGTATGGTAACTCTGCCTGCGCTGACGGGATACGCTGGCGGAGCACCAGTGAAGGGTGATAAATGAGAATGAAAACAGGCCAGTTAGCCCATCATAATGAAATCATCAGGAATTAACCATGATAGTTTCCAGGGAGAACCACGAGGAGGTCGACCTGGTTGGGTATACTATTGCTAGCAATGGGATTTTTAGTCTCCATTACTAACAATCCCTTTCCCCTCTCCCAAAAAGGGTTGATGTTAGGTAGGCGGCCGGTTGTAAAACTAAAAACCAAATCTTTTTGTAATATGGGTGATATAATGAAATATATGAAAGGTTAAAGACATTAGCCATATTGTCAACTGTCGACCTTGACCTTGATGACTCCCTCTTGGGAGATTTTACCAGTAGTTGCCATGTTTGGCAGGCGGGTTGGCAGCATCTAAACTCACAAACTCCTCTTTATAATACTGGTATAGATAGATTAGTAATATTTTAATTCATTGTTAGCGCTCATGTAAAACTTATGTAGTTGTAGTTATGTATTTATAAGAAGAAACAAACATACTAATCATAATGAAGCTCATACTCATCATACTGCATAATAAAACTAATCTAGAAACGTAATATTGTCAACAAGATTTCTAATGTGAGCATTTTATTATTTAGATTTTTTTATTCCACTGAGGTAGCAATAAGCATACGACCCACCTGATGGTAAACAGTCACCGTAGCCTATGAACGCCTGTAATACCAGGGGCATTAGGCGCGCGTTGTCAATCCTGAAAAAACCTCTTGTAGTCTCTTAGGAAATTATTTTTTTCATTTCTTTGTAAGTCAGCAAATCAAATCAAAATGTTCCTATATATCCTAAAATGTAGATAATTAAATATCTAAAGAATTGGGGAAATGTTATTCAACTATCGATGTATTCTGGACTGTACATATTTTAATGTATAATTAATGTATAATATACATATGTATAGCGATAAAAACTGGTTAAAACTAAATCAGTTAACACTTCAGGGTTACTTGCCTGCTCAAAGAAGTTCACGTTGCACTGATATTAGTAGATATCTACGCGTAGGTATGTATATTTTGATTTATATTGAATTCATTTTTACTTACGTGATGTCTGGATTGACATTAATAAAAAGTAGCCTAATATTCTTCTCTGTTTACTTCAAACAGGAAATATAGTTCGTTTGTTACCTCTAATTTTTATATACATATATATTTACAACGATCACGTAGACGAAGTCACGCGTGGAAATTAGTAGGTTACTTTTTAATATTTTTTTTAATACTACGACCTTTCGTATCATCAATCAAGCATACAGCTCGTCTGATTGTAAACAGTAACTGTAGCCTATGGACGTCTGTAACACTAAAGATATCACATACGCATTGCTGCCCTAAAGAAACCTTAATGTAACCTTTTTGTTTAATTCATTGTTAAATTAATTCTACTGAAATTAATGGAAGAAAACTCTATTGTTCCATTTAAAGAACAATACCTTTAAAGAAAGAATGATTTAAAAATATGTAACATTCTTATTGAAACCCCGACGACGAATTATAATAAATACGAAAGTTTAAAAAAATTGATTAATGGATGTTTCTCCCAAATTTTTCTTTCACCCAAATGATATTAAACGGTTAGAGTTAAAATTGGTAACATTATCATCATATCGGTCTTTAACTATCCACTGATGAACATAAGTCTCCCCCTTGGGATGTTTTGGCAGTAGTTGCCACGTTAGGCAGGCGGATTGTCAACCGTAGTCAAGCTTTAGATATGTTTTAAGAGAGACGTTGGTGCCCATCGCTCGCCTTTCCTTAGTCGGCTTTTACGACACCCACGGGAAAGGAAGGGGTGGCCTATTGTATGCCAGAACTACACGGCGAATTTATTTAAATTTTATATAGGGATAGGTTATATCTCAATGTATATCCTATACACTTTATATGGATTTACGCAGGTAAAACCACAGGATAGAGCTAGTAAGTAATATTTACCAATTAATAGAAAAAGTTGTTGAGAACTGATAATATGAAGTAACGGTGCGAAACAAAGGTTATCATAAAATGAAATGATAATTTTAATAAATACCCAAATTAAAATTGAGATATTAAAAAAAAAGAGATTGTAATATGTACATACAGTTGTAATTTATAGAAAATAAACAAATTGATTAGAACCTTCAGATATCTTTAATATTAAAACGAATATTTATTTATACTCATATTATAAAGATATAGTCATTGTATGGTTTGGGCATAAAATAGGCTACCCTCTCCTTTCCCGTGCGTGTCGTAAGAGGCGACTAAGGGACGGCGGGGAATGGGCAGCAGCGTCCCTCTTAAAATATCTTCAAAGCCTAACTTCGGTTGCCAATTCGCCTATCAAGCGTGGCAACTATTGGCAAAACCTCCCAAAGGGGAGGCTGATATTCAGCAGTAGACAGTTAAAGTCTGATATGATGATGACATTATAAAGAGGTAAGATTTAATTTTTTGTTTGTAATAAACTCAAAAATTACTTGAACGAAAAAAAAATTCTTTCACTTATAGAAAATTACGGTGTCAGCGAGTAACAAAGACTAATATTTTCGAAAATTCTACCTACAAGTGTGAAGTCAGGCTGGATCATTATAAATGTAAAAGTCAGCTTGTTTGTTACCTCTCTACGCCTAAATGTTTTAACCAATCGTCATTAAAATTAGGTTAACAAGCACTATTTGGAACGAAGAAAGACATAGGCTACTATTTATCAAGAGGGGGGGAGGGATTGTTAGTAATGCAGACTACCAGTGCCATTGCTAGCAATATACTCTGGTAGGTCGACCTCCACGTGGGGACCACGAAAACTATTGTGCCGAATTCCAGGTGTATTCATCACGATGGACTAACTGACCTGCGTTTTCATTCTTACCTATCATCCCTTACTGGTGCT